GGAGGGCGGCCAGCGGCGCCCGGCGCCCCCGCCGAAGCCCCGCGGCCAAAGGCTGAGCAGGAGCCTCTGCAGACTTGAGAGAGAAGAAGGAAGGCCTGAGATTTGCAGCTTTATTTTTGACTCTACCAGCCATTCGTGGGTAAAGATTTATTAATGATGTTACAGGAGAGGGATATATATGGTACCTCTCTCTGGGCTAGCCAGTGCTCAAGTGTTTTTTTACTTTGTTTTTTTTCTTTTTCTTTTTGAATGGATTTTACCCAAGAGAAAAGAAAAGCCGTAATTGTACTACAAGAGGAAAAGCTGCTTTAAACTGGGTAGGGATTATGGGTGATGATAATATTAAGCAAAGCGAAGACAATTAACTGGTTTGTCAGTAACCAAAGTTACTTGACCACATGAGAACAAATCCTGTAAAGAGTAGGCCAGAAAAAAGGTTGTCTTTGATTAATTTAACAGAGTTAAGCTTTTATTTTAAACGTTTTGCGTAATTTTTTTGGCCTCTTAAGCAACAGCTCGAGGGGATCTAAATGGAATATTAAATCCCTTTAAAAAAACGTAAATGTAAATTATGTACTCTTTCCTGCCCCTTCCTCCTTCCTTTCCCCCCTCCGTTTACGTGTGCGTACCCGATTCCCTTCGTCTTTGAAGTTGAGCCAGCAGCTGAATGAGGCACCTTCCAAATCTGTATGAAAGGGGCGGGAGGAATCCCTAAAAGTAAACCAGATGAAGGGAGGCATAGCTAAAGTGTGGCTGACGACTTCAAAGGACAACTCTCCAGTAAGGAGATCATATCGTAAATCCTCTGTGTTGCATTCAGATTTAGCTGCGTGCTGTCCAAAAAAAAAACAAAAAACAAAAAACCCTACACTAAATGATGCTTTCTGCCAGTTTTTTAGCTGACTTGCTCATTTCTAAATCAGCAGCTTGGAGGTATGTCTGAACAGAAAACTAGAAGGCCTTTTTTCCTTTTTTCCTTTTTTTTTTTTTTTTGCTTTTTAACCTACTCAAAGTACTGATTCAGAAATACTTAAGTCCACTAGGGCTTTGATCATTTGATGCTCTGTGGGTGAGCAGCTTGTCATATTTTTAGACTAGTTCAAAAACAAGCAAACAAGCTTGTTTCTGTGGCTATGATGGTCTCATGATATGCTGGTCTCATAAGCAGGACAATGTTTGGCAAGAGTGGCGATGTCCTATGTTAGACCAGCTGATATGCTTTGCAGCTCAAAGGAGAAAACAAGCTGAGAGGCACACAAGTCCTTTCTTAGTGTGAAACAACAGCAGCAAACCTTGTTTTGTAATAAATATGTTTTAGAAGCCTACACAGGCTTTTGGTGAGCTTGATTCCCATGACATTTGCCATGTTATTTACCATTTTGAAAGGAGCAATTGTACTTCTGAATTAGGTATTTGATCTGCATGCAATGTTTTGTAATTATGTGTTGATATTTATATAAACACTGTGTGTATATATATATATATATATATAAATGTATGTAATTGTAGTGGTTGCATGTATGTGTGTATACACACACAAACACACACACACACACACACACAGCTCCATTAAAAAAAAAAAAAAATCATTTCCTCTTTCCCCGAAATATCTTTCCAGTAACAAACAGTATTGGTATGAGAGAAAATGTTTAAATTCCATAACCTACTGGATATATTTCTGACTTCTCAAGCTTCATCCAATTGACTTTAATCACAGGAAAAGCTGTCTGATAATGCATAGTTGATAAAATCAGTGACGTGACCGACTGTTAGCACCTAGAACATTCATGTGACTTAAACCGGTTGCACGGTTTTTTAATGATTTTGTGGAATAGTGATCTGTAACGTGCACTGTAAAGTAAAACGCAAAAATTTCAAACAAGAATGCCCAGAGAGGGGAAAAAGGAGATTCAACTTGCATAAATACTTATTTGCACACGTGCACACTCTCTTTTAGAGATTTCTTTTTAGAAAGCGACTACTGAAGAAGCTCTCTTCACTGCATATATAGCACAGTGTTCTGTACTTCAGCGAGGCAGTGTACAGCTTTCATTGCAATGACAAATACTGAAATGTTAAAAATAGATCAAGCTTTAAGAATCCCAGATATTTTCAAATAACAAAGAGTGATTTATGTGGGCTCATTTTGCACTTTGACAAAATATAGAGGCGCTTTTGTACTATGATTAGCAAGGGTGCTGATGTCAGTTCTCTTGTCTAGCTTTAAGCTTTATCCCGCTGCTAAATTGTGCTTTGTACTGTAATCCAGAGAACCTTTGTATCTGCCTTACTAGTGTGTAGTTTATGGAATTGCTTTTGTTTTTGAATATAATCTGTGCCAGTTTCAGTGAGTGTGACTCATTATATGACTGAAATAAACATTCACATATGCACTATGTGAAAACTCTTCAAAAATAGTAGCAGGTGCTGGTAGGCTAAATTCAATGTTTTCAGTACTTAATAGTGGCTATTTTGCAGCCTGAAGGGCTGAAAACAAGTTCTGTTTAGCTGATGGATTTCTGAAATTTTAAGTAAGAGTCCTCTTTACTTATTAATACTCAACAGAGATTGTTAGGTGTGATAATAAGAATTTTTTTGACTCATTAACACAATGTTAGAAATAAACTTCCAAAAGAAGCATATTTGATTGGTTCGGAGTTGTTTTTTTATTACATGAGGCAAATGTGTCTTGCTTTTCAATACCTTTTTTCTGTCCTGTCTGTAATCTCTTTCCTCCTGATTTAAGCTTTGAAGTTTTCATCTGAACAACTGAAGGCTGAGGTTAAAGTAACAGAGGTTTGCGGTTCAGTTCGGAGCACTTATCGGTGATCAACTTTGCCTGGAGAGAACGCCTCCAACACTGAAGTTTCCTGTTATCCCAGAATCTAAGTTGTCAGTTGATTTGGAAACAGGAAAGAAAACAAACTTTGCCGGTGTTTTTGGGCCACGGTTATACAATGCTTATCAGCAGTGCTACTTCGTAGAAGATGCTTGTAATTAAAATTGAAGTTGAAGGTGTTTTGTTTGTTAAATCTTCCACTTTTGTGTTTTGCTGTTCACCCAGTTCAGCTCACTAGTACAGAGGAAACAGTTGCTTGAGACCATGAGTTGAGTTGCACGGTTCAGCGTTTAAAAGCAGATGCTGTATTTATGACTGCAAAAAGCATGCTTATTTTATGAAGACATTCAAGTATAAAATTTGCCTTTAAAACTCAACCTTTAAAGGCTTGGTAGCTACTGAATGGATCACAAACCTTAATTAAGCTGTCTGGCATTTTTCCCTTTCTTTCATTTTCTGGATTATCTTTTCATAATAGCTTCCTAAGCTTGATACCCAAAAAAGCATGCATGCTTGACAATGAGTGTTTTGTGAGGCTCCTGTGTCTAGCTGCCAGAGCTAGTTTAGAGCTGTCGCTCTAAGATGGCAACACAGTTTTGATTCTGTCCTTCATGCCCTCCCTCCACTAGTTGGTTTGAAGGTAATGGCTGCATGAAGAAGAAATAGGAACTCTTTGGTCCTCAAGAATGGCTCTCAGTCTTTTCCTTCCTTCTTTTCCTAAAACTTTTATTTCCAAAGCTAGATCTCGATGAGTAAAGGATACCACACGTCTCAGCTCTTCTGGTACCGTCCGTGTTGATTCTGTTCCTTTCGTTGAGCCTCTTGTTCTGCCTTTGTTAGCCCGCAATTGGGATTAGCTGAAATGCGAGTTCCTATTTGTCTGTTTTTTGTTTTGGGGGTGGGAGGTCTCCTTTTTTATTCCTCATAAAGGACTTAGTTGCAACCTTGTTTCACCACTGTGAAGAAGTTTAAAATGGAGCATCTGTGGGCACCATGTGATCCTTCAGTGCAAGGTGGAGTAGGTTGGCTACTCTCTTGACTTTCGTTGGCCTCTGGCTTTGAGAAGTAGAAAAAAGTGACGTCTCCCCAGTGCATCTCAGCTATACTCTCAAATGTTTATTCTGTGTGAAAGCAATGCACCTCTCCTCCTGGGCAGCGCATCCAGTTTCTTTCACTGTGTCCATCATCCTGGTGTTTGAGCAGATGAGGAAAGTTGTCATATAGGGTGCTGTGCTATTGGTAGAGTTGAGGAACTGAAGTGCAGCTGAGCAAGGGAATAAAGGTAATGTTGATAACATCAGAACATTTGTGTGCAGAGACTGGTTTCTTGACTTGAATTAGGACGTTTGGAGAGCTGCTCAAATATGAGTTATGCTGGGGGACAGTGACCTGTGGCATTGCAAAGGCAGCTGAGGATTAGCTGAGAGATGTGACACTTTGGCGATGCTTTTCTGCCTCGCTATGCTGCTTTGTATCTGCAGCAGCAGGAAGGCTGGTATTACAAGCACAGTGTCCAACTGTGAAACGTATTTCTTTCTTGGATGTACCTTACACTGGAATTGGTTTTAAGTGATAAAACTAGAACGCTCGGTCATATTTCCCCATCTCTGTAAAGTTTTGCAAAATAATAACGTAGCTCTTTTTCTGTAACAACTACCAATGTGAAATATAGGGATCCAAGTGCAGAGTTCCCCTAACATCAAGGGGACCATACGTTGCGAGTGCTGCATGTTCTTTAAATGTAGGTCGCTATTGTTGAGCAGAGATGAAATATTCAGAGCTCGAGTGCAACAGCCTTAATCAGCAGATACTGGGAACGAGACGTTGTGGAGCACTTATTGATATATTTCATCTGTTCTTCCCCATGATTACGGCAGCTTCCCTTAGGACTTTGTGTGTGCTTTTTTTTCCTTCCCTTGACCCTTCTTTAAAAAAAAAAAAAACAAAAAAACCCGCTGGATATATCCTTTTCCATTTTTTTAAATGGCAACTTAATTTTATGTCCTCTTCTTAGAAACTGGTATGTAATCTCTTAGAATTCTATTTGAAGTATTTATTATTACTCAGTTCAATCTAGACAGAAGCCATACGCAAAAAGTAATAGTTTTAAAATATGATTTCTTGCATCTAATTTTTCCTTTTTATTTCCTCCAATTTTCAGGCATGGAAGAGGAGATGGTTTGTACTGCGCAGCGGCCGTTTAACAGGGGATCCAGATGTATTGGAATACTACAAAAATGACCACGCCAAGAAGCCTATCCGTATTATTGACTTAAACTTGTGTCAACAAGTGGATGCTGGATTAACATTTAACAAAAAAGAGTTTGAAAACAGTTATATTTTTGATATCAACACTATAGACAGAGTTTTCTACTTGGTGGCAGACAGCGAGGAGGAGATGAATAAGTGGGTCCGATGTATCTGTGATATCTGTGGGTTCAACCCTACGGATGAGGGTAAGTTCTGCTCTCTTTTCTAAGAAATTCTGCTATGCCTCCAAGCCAAGAATGTTTCCAGGATCAGATGATTATCTCTAACTAGCGTATGTTTTAAAACTTATATGCGTGGACTGTGAAACTCCCTTAGCGCCCTGGAAAAAAAGTAAGTAGAAGAGAGGAAGATCTTCAGGATTTGTTAACAATCAAATGTTCCATAGAAATTGATGAGGCTGCTCTTGCATGGTGTTTCACATGACATTAGGTCTCAAGTATAGGAAAAATCTTAAAGTAAAATCATGCCAAACAGAAGAGCAGCCTCCTCAGCTTCTGTGGAATGTTTGATTGTGTCTGTATACCATTTTATTGCTTACTGAAGTACACTATAACTCTCATGCTGGAAATCTTTTTCCCATCTAAGGAATCCTATTCGGTATAACAACTTATGGCTGTGCAAGCAGGAGTGGGTGCAAAATGGCAGACTTCTTCTATTGCCGTTTCTCCATCTGCTTTGCAACTCATAAAAAAAATGCCCTAAAACAAAAAATAATTTGTACTCCTCCACTCACCAGTTCTAATCTTATGCAAACAGACATTATGTGAAAGCAGCTGGTAGGAAACAAGGGAGTGTGTTAGAATTCATACAAATACCTTGTGGCCACCAACATGGCTTGTCCTGAATCTACCCTTATTTATTTACTTATTATTCCTTCATTCCTTGTGGAGATTAATGAGTGGCATGACGTGCTGTAATTCTGTGCACAGGCCCAAGAAAAGATTAAATAGTAAGAGGGTTATAAATAAAGCATGCCTGACTGAAGGGGCTACAACTAAATCCCTATATTTATTGAGTTGTGGATTGAGGGGAAACAAGGGCTTTCGTCGTCTTTACTCCAGCCAAATCTCCAAAAATGACTGGAAAATATTCTTGCGTTCTGAAGAAAGACCCTTTTCTTCTTCCTGATTTCAGTTTTGAACTAAAACTTCTTCACCAAAACTTTTTTGTGCCTCTAAATTACCCCTCTAATAGAAAATTCGATGAAGGGTACTTGTTTTGAGTTAGGGATTATTTTTATGACATCCTGATCATAAATGAGACCTTCTCCCACATGTTTCTAAACATGAGCCACAGGTAGGCAGGTGATTGTATTTTCTAATGGTGCACCAGTGCAGCTGCGGGCAGGAGGCATTCAGAAATCATTGGTTTTGGGGACAAACTAGGAGCATGGAAAGCGAAGAGGAAATGTACTTACCTGGCTGTCCTTGTGTATGTGAGAGCACAAATAAGCACATGTCCTAAGCAGTTGTGTGGGACAAAAAAGATAGGGTCACTTCAAAGGCATGATACCTTTCCTTGCTGGGAGATGATGCATTGTTAATCCTTCATATTCTTTTGATGCGTTGCCTGAGTTGAAGATGAAATATGCTGTGGATGCAGGGAGCTCTAACTTCACTCTAACTGACTGCTTGGATTAGAGGCTAGGGCATACTATGGTATATCATTAACTTTTTCCCACTTCCTTCTCATTGCGTGTTTTATCTTAAGTGTTTTAGCTTTGTCAGAACTTTCCCAACGCTGTTGCTTTACAGAATTGCAAGTTGGCAGTACTGCTTTATGGGTTTAGTGCTGTCTTCCGATGGATACGTAGAGAAAGAATTAAAGAAAAATGGGAAAATCAGTTGATCACTTTCTACATATATTGACAATATCTTATTTTACAAGATACATCTCTACGTATTAATGAATGACTTCAAATCATGCATGTACTTTATAAAGTCTTTATTAACATGCACTTTATTTTGAGAAATTATATAGGTTAAATTCACTGCAACTAATAAGAAAAACACTATTCCTTTAGTAAGGAACTAGGCAAAAAGAGGATGTATGGGACATAACCAACCTTCACTTTAGCTTACGGAAGCAGGAGGTAGTTTTCCTTGGGCAATGTCTCTTGCCAGACTGGTTAGGAGTCTTATTATGAGAGGACTGTCATTAGCAGCCTTTGCTAAATCAAGGACTGTGGGGGCACCTCTGACCTTTTTGTTCCTGCTTCCGTTCATTTGGAAGCCCAGTCCAATTGCTTCCATGGATTTACTAAGGGAGAAATTATGAGACAGTGGTGGTTGGTGCTATTAGAACACTTCACAATGAAAACAAGTATGGAGTTGTTGTTCTTGGGTTTGGAGGGGTGAGGGAGAAAGAGTTAATCATAACTGTGATGAGGAGGAAAAAAAAAAAGTCATTTTAAACTAACACCCAGCTGCCCCTTATATACTTAGCGAAGACTCTGGAATTCCTGTGATGCTGGCGAGTTCATGTTTTGTCTTATTCCTTTTCTTTCAACAAGAAGACATTGAAATCTGCAGTCCTTACGATGATAGAAATTATTTTCTTTAAACATATTTGAAATATGTATGTAAATATAAATGTAATATGGATTATACTCTGAAAGAACTATAGCTTGCTTCACATGCAGCTCTGAAAGTCTGCAGTATTTCCGTTCAGGCAATTGCTATCTGATACATTCATCTCATGCCTTCTGTATTTTGCACAGTAAAATTTTCTTTAGATAACTAGATTTGTTTTTATTGTGTTCTGATTAAAACATGCACTCTAATTGGGCACTTCAAGCTGATCGTAGCTTGGGTGTAAAATCGGTGATTGGCAGGATGGACGCAAATCCATATTTCTCCCCAACTCCTTATATTCTTCTCAATTATAAAAATAAAAAATAAAAAAAAATGCTGCACTATCAGACGTTGTTGCTACTACGTTTTGTTGAGATAATAGCAAAGTTCTTAATATCAGATCAGGATACCACTGTGCTGACTGTTACAGAAGTGTAGAACAGAAAATTGGCCCTGCCATTGAGAACTTCTTATCTGCAGTAAGATGAGTCAACATTTGAGCAGAGACAAATAAAGAAGTAAAAGGAAATAAGATGGACCGTTGTGACAGATAAGTCATCTTAGCGCGTTGGTTGTTGGACTGTTGTTGAATTCTGGGATTATAGTGAAGATATTTTCAAGAGCACTTGGGTAAATAAATGATGGACATTAGAGGTCTTTAGAGTGCTCTTACAGCATGAAGAAGCCTGTAAGAAATAAAAAAAAAAAAAAAGTATTTTGCTTTGTTTTGGCAACTTCGACGAATGATGGAGGCTAGCACACTTGGCAAACCAAAATCACTATCTCAGTAACGTATAATGAATATTGTTGACTTTGGTCGTGGAAGGCCTCAAAAGTGAGGGGAAATAGCCTGAGCTTTTGGACAAAGGAAGGGGGGCTCTGGAGGAGTGTAAAGAGAAGTACACTGACAGAGTAATGATATTTAAAAAAAAAAAAAAAAGAAGTATTTTTGACAGAATTCTCAATGGATATGAATAGGGCAGTAATGGAGTAGTAAAATGGGGATTTGTTACCCTTTTTGAGACATACAGTATAAAGTCTGAATTTGATTGGTTTATTTTAACGGGTGTGTTATTAGAAAGGACTGCTACTCTAGAGATGATGTTCATAAGATGTACCTAAACAAAATGTGAGATTTTTGACGTGTCTTCGATCTGATTAATGAGAAAGAAGGTCAGGTCAAAGACGACATGCAGGAAGATGAGTGACTGGTGCCCTTGAGCGGAGAAAAGAGCAACATGGAAAGGACTGAGCTGAGCATTAGGAGAGGGGGCCGCCAGGTAAGGATTGCTGGTCAGTTGTGTTAGAAGCGAGGCAATAGGTTTAGAGGGAATAGCAGCACAAGGGCATACCTTTTGTGGAGGCTTTTGGGGTTGTTTGGTTTGAGAGGAAGTAGGTTGGGGGGAATGGCCACTGACGTGTGGAAATATGATTTTGACCAGAGTGGCAAGGTGCAGTTGCTGAGAGGATGGGGAGAATAAACTGTGAAGGAAGGTGTCACTGTCACAAAATTTCATTGCAGTGCGATAAGAAAATTAGAAGAGGCAGGTCTAGAAAAGGACCTGAAATTTGGCATAGCGGATCTGATAGAGGTAGCTATCGCCTAAAAAGCTGAGTAAAGGGAGGCAAAGCACAGAAAGTCACTACCCAGTATCCACAGGAAAAAGGGAAGACATGAAGATGCCTTTGACATCAGCTGATGTGGTAAAGGGCAGGTCGTTAGAAGATGGCAGATAGATGGCCCAAAATCTGCAACAGAGAGTCTAGTACATCCTCTGTTATAAGTATCTGAGGAAAAGAAAAAAGGCATAGGATAAAAATAATCATTTAGTACAATCACAGAACCTTTTGTGGCATTAAAATCACCTGAAGAGTTGCCTGGAGAAGGGGGCTGCAGGAGGGTGGGCTGGAAAATTGTTGTGCAGACTGCTAATTCTCAAATCATGAGGTGCTTTGAGGCATTATGTGGAGTGCTAAAAACATACTTTCAGTAGGCCATAGGTGCCTGTGATTCTGGACAGATTGGTGCACCAGGGTTGGGTAAAGTTGCCATGTGACTGGAGCAGCCTGTTTGGGGGAGGAAAGCTGTATAGGCCTTTTTAGTGAGGGAGAGGTAAGTGAACTTTCTTAGGCAGTGGGCTGTGCTCTTTCTCATCACCTACGGAAGTTACTCCGTAACAGTAATTCTTGATTATTTTTCCTGTATACCCCAGCCTGTGTGCCATCTGAAGATGGAGAGACAGACTACATATATATTTGTTTCCTTTTGAATGAGCAGTTGTCAAAAGAAAATTACAGGTGTAGGGGGGAGAAATTCTGAATAGAAACGCTTTCAGTATTTTTGAATTTTAGATGGGTAACTCAAAGTACAGCTTAAAATGACATAGGAACTATAGGCAGGAAGCACAAAATACTACGTGTGAGCTCTGAAAGCCAGGGACTTTGCATGCTGTAGAAACTTAAGAAGAGGAGTCAGTTATGTTTATGGTTCTTCTGGAGGAGGTAGGGCTGTCCTGAGCATAAAATAAAGTAAGCAAGGTCTGAATTCATTGTTAGAGTGCTTTTTAAAAATAGGATATTGTATGTCTCTTCAGAAGAAGAGAGAGAAGATGCTTTAAGATGATGTTAAAATAAAACAAAGGTACAAAATTTTTTTTTTTTTTTTTTAGATCTATTAAAAATTTTTTTCTTCTGACTGCAGCAGAGATGTTCGGAACAGAGGGTTATTGCATAGATTTTTTGCATCGATCGCAAGCTGATCGTTTATGCTGAAAACCTCCCTTAGCAAAGCTTCGTGCGCTGCCAAACCCAGACTAACATGCCCATGCATCTTCTGGGCCGGATCTGGCTCGTGCCTGGCTTGAGTTAGGTATGCGTACAGAGCAAGTGCTTGTCTGTCTGCCCCAGTCAGCGTAGACGTGCTTTGTGTGTGTGCATGTGCATGCACACGTGCACATGTGGCTTTCTGATTCCAGGGTCTTTCACTTGAAACCATGTGGAAGCTGACACTAGAGGAAGCTCCAGCAGTGTATCTCCTGAGGACGTATCTTGTTTTACGTTAGGGTAGCAATTTAGTTGCTCTCCTGCTGCTGAGATGATGACTTACTAGACTTAATTTAAAAAAAAAAAAAAAAGTGATGTATTTGTTCCTAATCTTTGAAATTATTTGATTTATTTATGTGCACCTTGCATACTGGATGCATATAGGAAAATGAGTAATATAAAAGTGGAAGTTATCACTCTTCTGTACGGTTGTCTATTTTTATGGCAACCAGCATTTTCTGTAAATTTTTATTTAAGGTTATTACTCTACTATTTTGTTGGCTATTTTTTCTTAATTAGAACATCTGCATCACAGTAAATAGATTGAATGAGTCATCTCAGAGAGGAATAGTAGAATCATGCGATTACATATCTGTTGCTGATTCATTGTTACAATGGGAAAATCCCATTTCTATTTTGGTCTTTCACACATTCTGAAAAGAATGCTCTTTCTTACTTTTCATCAATGCAAATTTGGCATTTAATGAGATGGTGCTTTTTGTAACAAGGCTCTCAATTTTTTGTATTTTGTTCACTTTATTAGAACACTTCATACAAGTATTTACATAATTAGAATATTGAATAGACATTGTATTCCATGATGTAGAAAACAGTCTCATTTCTACCTTTATAGAAAGGGAAAACTCAGTGCACACTTCCACACTCAGATTGTTCATAAAGCACAGGTACTGGAACACGAGGAGTGAGGAAGATGTATGTGATTCAGAAGGAAGAGGGGAGCCTTTTATTATACTTGTAGGAAAAAGTGTTCTTTTTTACCTCTCATTAATTTTCTCAATTGTTTTATTAGTGGGGCAAATATAAAGACGCTTATGAGAACAAAACCTGTGAACAAATTCTAGAAGAGATAGTGCCACTAACTGCTCTTAACAAACGAATTAAGGAAGAATAAAACCCTTCTCCTGTTCTAAGAAAGTGTCCTTTTCTAGCTGTACTGAATGCAGGGATTATAAAAACAAAATAGGATTCTTGTTATACTCATTTGCATGTTAAATATTCTGGATGCTTTTCCAGCTCCCAGCTATTTCAAAGCAGGCATAGTGTCTGAGCTCTGGGAGCAAACCAAATGGCTTAAAATGCTCTTTGGTGTGCAGGCGACCCCTTCCCTAAAAATCTGCTAATTCAAATGGAAGCAAGTTGATTATTGTGCTCTTTGAAATCATAATAGGCTACTGGGATAAATGAGCAAGTGGCTGAAGAGAATGTTTGACAATGTCCAAATAGGCAAACAGAGCATTCAGTTTATTTTATCAGTAATTAGAGTTGTTGTTAAAATTACTGTTTTCTTGATAGTCTAATGTTAAATAGCTTGAATAGATAAAGCAAGTAATAAGTAGCCCAGCAGTAAAGTGTTTGAAACTGAGTTCAATTGCTCTTTAAAACAGGCATTAGCTTACACTATTTAACATGTGCAAAATGAATTTCTAAGGATGAATTTCAGATCAGAAAATTGATACCTTAATAGTTTAGTACTCCGTCCACCCCAAAAGCACAGATCTGTAGGAGGGCTCAGGGCGTTTGTCAAATGGTATTTATGTTAAAATAAATGAGGCAGTTCATCATGAGGAGAACATTCCTCACTCTCCATTAACATTAATGGGCTCCAAATGAGCTATTCTTGCTCAGAAAAGAGATCATGGCAATCTTCTGGGTGGTTTGACAGGGTCGCCTTTAATGCTCAGTAATAGTTATAAGGCAAATGGAAGGTTAGAATAGGAGCAGCATGAAGTACTATGTCTATGTAAATCAATAAGTGTCCCAGATTTTGTGCAATAATCGTTTTCCTTTCTCAGGAAGGAGTTAGTAGAAAAAGGAAAGGTGAGAGAGAAGGGGAAGATGATCTGAAATGGCTTCTGTACCAGGAAAAAATAAGCAGCAGCAACTTAGTGAAGCTGTGAGAAAGTCTGTAAGATTCGAAATTGAGATTATGAATAGGAGACAATTGTTGCTGTTTCTCTGAAGACAAGAGCTGAAGGATATCAAGTGAAATTGTCAGGAGGCAGTTTTAAAATAAAAGGAAGTACTTTTTCACACCATGCATAATACATGGTGGAACTCATTGCCACGGGATGTTGTGGAGGTCAAAAATCTCAATGTGCTCAAGAGGGGTGAGACAAGTTCAAAGATGAAAAGTCCATCGGAGGCTGGTAAGCACAGAACGTGGATGCAGCCTCTGCCCTGGGATGTCCCGAAGATGTAGACTTCCCAAAGTTGGGGGAAGTATGCCAGGCTTGCCTTGCTGCTTTAGCTCAGTTCAAATAGCTGCAAAGTAGCTGCTGTCAGAGATGCATAGTGGGCTTTGGAGACTTAACATCTTAGCCAGTGTATTTAGTCTAATGCACTTCATCAGCTTGCTTCCTTTCACAATTTATTTTTACTTATTTTTAAGAATGTCACACTTTTTTTTTTCTTTTCCCTTGTGTGTTGCCTCTTTCAGGCTTCTTAATTTTATTTTTCCCCCCAGAGGCTGTTACTCTTGAGTCTGTTACCTTTCCTGGGAATGTCGGTGCATGATTAGTCTAAATGCATCAGCCTCACACAGATATGCATGTTGTTACATACCTGTTGAGCTCTCCTGACCGCTGTGGTCTAACTGACACATCTCCCTTCCCTGTAAGCTTCAGGGACATCCTGTTTGATTTCTTTTTTTCCCCTTGCGTGACCTCAGCACCAAGCAGACCTAATCACCACCACCTTTGGATTTGTGAAGGTGTGTGTGTGGTCAGGGGCAAGGATTGTGGTATACCGTAGCTTTTGAGGTCTCGCTTCTCCATAAACATGGCCAAAGAAGGATAGCGTATGTGGGAGGAAACCTGTCTCCTGCCCTTTTTCTCTCCTTTTTGTTATTCTGTCTTTTTAGGTAGGTTATCTGAGCTGAGGAATTTTCGTACATCCCCTAGACTTCCTCATCCCAAATGGATGTGGTGGGATTTAATTTCTGAGCCTGTGTAAGCGCTACAGGAGTTTAAAGCTAGTACAGATGTTCCTGTTTCTACCTCTGAATCACTTGTACCTTGTGTACACAGAGCTGGAAGCAGGAGGGCTATGTTCTGGTCTTTTCATCAGGTCCTTCCCAGGGTTATGCTAGGAAACAGAAGCTGGATGAAGTGATTTCGCAGGGTATAGCTGGCCTGTAGGCCAAAAAGGAGCAGTCTGCTGTATGGTGATAGCATGATAATAATACTTTCATTAAAACAATGTTAGTAACTGATTTCCATTTTTGGGATGCGCAAATTGGAATGTACAGTGAGTTGCAAGTACAAGAGAGTCTTGATAATTATGGAACCATTTGCTTAATTATGTCATTCTTATTTCATGCATCATTGAAAGAAGGAAAAAGAGTGAAGTGATTGTTTAATGCTTGATAATGTCAATATTTTCCAGTCTCCCAGATAATTTAACAGTCAGGATACATGTATTTGGAGAAGAAAACTTAGTCAAGAGCATGTGTGAATTGGAAGTGGATAAGAATTACAAAGAGAAGATTGGGGGGAAAAAAACCCTAACTACTTGATTTACATCACTCAAATAAAAAGTTGGGTTACGTAACAAAAGAGCCTGCTGGAACATGGTACCTATTGTACCTTTGTATTTGTTTTATAGTCATAACGGATCTTCCATTGCAAAAGCAAAGTCTTTCCTGTTGCTTTTCGGTCATTGAGAGAGGCCATTTCTTGCTGGTAACTAATCTTGAATACTGAAGTGACCTTGGTCAAAAGGAGGTGAATACATGCAAGTGCTGACTCAGGTTGCCGAATTCAAGTAGTAACCTTATGGACCTGTTTCTGTTCTCGAGTAAAACAACAGATTCGTGTTCTTAGCTGTTGTACTGCAGCAGTCAGCATCCTCCTCCTTTCTGTAACCAGAAAACAGGTCAAACAAGTCATACGGTCAAGGCATCACCTCTAGTTCCAAGGCAGGCTTACAGAATTGGCTGCAGTTGAAAGAATCTGAAGAGTCCTGAAGATTCTGAAGTCAACTTTAACGTCCACGACTGAGATTTTCTTGTGCTCGTGTAGTTCGCAGTTTTGAATTAAAAAAGAAGACAAACTTCCCTTATGTGTATTTTGTTAAGAAGTCCTTTTGTAGTATTGTAAGGCTATTTGATCCTTTTTTAAAAAAAACAAAAAAACTATGCTTCTGTGCTTGCAGATGCTGTGAAGCCACCTGTCAGTTCTTTACAAGCACCTGCTGAGTTACCCTTGCCCATCAACACTTCACCACCTTCTATTCAAGCAGAATCTTCCCTACCTCCTCCTTATCAGCTTATTAACATCCCCCCACTGGAGTCTTCCTCTGGTCAAGAAGATCCTCAAGACTACCTACTGCTAATAAACTGTCAGAGTAAAAAACCTGAACCTATGAAGTAAGTGACTTTTTTCTTAATAGCATTTATTTGCGTAGGCCAAGGCGTTTGTGCTGAAAACTTATTTCTTTTCTTTTTATTCACAAGACATTGACAATGTGGATGCATGTAATCGGGGCGGGGGGAATTGTCTGTAATGTCTCTTTTTTTCTGTGCTCGAACAATTGCGTGTAGCAGTAGTAAGTTGTTTGATCAGCACTAGACCCATATTACATTCTTCAAAAGTGTGTACAGTAATTGGCACTATGAAGTGTCAGATTCATGCAGTGATTCTAGGGACTACTTCATAGCCTGGAGTGATGTGTAGCGCAGAGCGAAGTACCACCCTCTCTTTAACCGCACCCTGATGTGTTTCAGTCCAGTCTAGAAGCAGAAGAAGCTGGAGGAATTTAGCGTTCATGCCTTTCTGGTACTTGGCACTCCAGTTTTGCCAGTTGAACCTTTCATGGGAATGATTCAGTAATATAGGCTGAAATTTGTTATCACCTGCCGGGTTACCACATCACTGAATATAGCAATCATCAAGTGGCATTTGTGGCTGTAGTATTAACATGGTTTAGACTCAATCAAGAGACCTTATGAGTAGAAGGTAATTATTTTGTGATAACTCGGAGTACAGGAGACACAAACCACTCTGTTTCTGTATCTTGAGTTTTATGAGATCTTAACAGTTTTCTGAAGAATACATATTAAAAAACTATAGCTGAAATAAGTCTTATTCATTACTGAATAAAGAGTACCTGCCCAGTTAATTCTCCAGAGGAGTGTGCAATGTTAAATTTTAAGGCAACAATCAAAAACTTTTGCTCAGTGAAACGTATACGTATTCCTCTAACTGCTGCTTCTAACTGAAACAAATGTACAGCACCTCCTGCATAGCAGAGTATGATAGCTGATGGTAACTATCTGGGAGACATCACTTTGTTTTTCAGAATGGATCATAGTGGTCAAACTTGGAGCAGGCTGCCCAGGGACTTTATGGAATCTCCATTTTTCAAGATTTAAATAAGTGGACTGGATGAGGCCCTGAGCAGCCTCATCTGACTTTGAAGTTGCCTCTGCTTAGACGAATTGGGCTGGTAAGGAGAGTTAGACCAGGTGACCTCCAGAGGTCCCTTCCAGCCTTGATTATTCTGTGGGAGAATGTTATAAATCTCTCTGGCAAGCTTCTTTTTAATAGTAATATGAAATAATGTCTGCTGAGGTATTTCCAGAAAAATAAAACTAAACAAAACTGCGCATTATTTTTGTGATTGCAGAAATGTGCATTGAAGGCTGAGGATAGTTGCCTATGGAAGTATTTTCTTGAGTATTTCACATACTCCCTTAGGGCCATACCTTTCAGTGGCGGTGCCTTCTTCTTCAACACCTTGATGCTCTGCCAGTTTTACCTATGCCATGTGCTCTCTGTTCCCTTGGCGTTTTTATCTCGCTCTGTTGTGCCTGAGGACTTTCCTGCTCCATTTACTGATGATTACGTGGTAGGAAAGCATCCACCCTTCACAATCGTTCTTGTAAAGCAGAAGGCACGACGAGCCTGCAGGTCCCCCAGCACATGGAACGCGCAGGTTACGGGCAGCACAGCGCGCTGGAAAAACATCCTGCAAGAGAAGAGGATACCCCATGTTTAGTTTCTTAAAGTGTGGAAGGTTTGAATGCTTGATGATGTTTAGAAGCTGGTGGTATTGGTGGCTGAGAGTAACGCTATCGTTCCTGCTAAACGTTATGCCAGTTCTTTGGTTCGTTTCATTTCTGCAATGGCTTGGCAGAGAAGTGATGAGGTTTCGTTTTAGGGCCCTGGCTTACCAGAAGTATGTCAGAGCGCAGGTTTGGTTCTGTAAGGGATGGGCACAGAGGGGTTTTCTAAAACCACGTGAAGAGTGCTTTTTTAGAATTGTCAAGGTTAGGATGTGCAATTGACTTTCTGATGACTTCTGCAGTTGTGTGGTTTGAGGGTTAAGTAAAAGGAGGTGAAGTCTTAGGGGGCCATAAAAACAGGCACAAAATAGGGCAAGGTAGAGTCTCCTACAGTGGGTAGCCTGCAGATTTTGTTGGGGAACCCATAGGTGATACAGGAGAGTAGGAATTTTGGGGCTAGGGAAGGCAGAATATGCTATGGAGAAAAAACAGACAAAACTGCGAGAGGAATGGATAGAGTCTTGGGAGTGTGGAGGTTGTTTAAATAAACGGTGTTTTTACAGACGTGTTTGAAGGTGGTGAACATAAACATTACAGTCAGTTGGGAATGATGGGCTTACTGTATTATATTTAAAGAAGTTTGCTGATTAGCTGTGTCCTTTTATTAAGATGGCTGTAATATGGAAAATTCAGAATAATAGTTAGGCTGGAGTTTGAGTTCACCTTAAGAAAGTTGTTTATATTTCATGTTTGATATAGTAGGTATCCTGTTAAGTTCTGCTAAATTTGGGCCAGAGTATAGTTGATATAGACCCTTTCCTATGGACTTAGAGTTTTGTTTGTCTGCGTAGCCTATTATTAAGATGATTGGTTAGAGAATATTGTGTGCATTACTGCAATCCACCCCTGAACAAGTGAAGAACTACTAAATGGCTCCATCATTTTCCCATTAACTCCTAGACTTAGAATAATTAATCCATGAATTTGATAATACAGCTTTTACTATGTCTTTGTAGGAAAAATATTTTTGTGTGCCAATACTCATTACAAGTAAAGCATAATAGTTATAAATCAGTAGGCAGGTATTGTTACTTGAATGGTTTATTGCTATAATCTTTTCCCTGTAGACCTCAAAGTTGCCAATATGCAGAAGGCACTCTTTCTATTCTATTTTTGCATGTTACTTTATAGATAACCTGAGAATCAATGAACTTTATTTCAGGGCTTTGGGGTTCTTTTACAGGTAAGGTGGGTAACTGCGAAAAGTAAAGGAAGTAGCTAAGCTGCTTGTTTGGAATTTTTGAGAGTTCTTGTCTTTTGAAACTAATCAGAAAAATAATTTCCAAGAGCTTCATTGCTGTCCTGCATACTGTTGTGAGGATATCACGTATCGTTGGACCCAGTACTTGCAGTTGTACTAACCGTGCTGTGTTTTGTCTAAAATAATGCAGTTTTATGCCCTGATCTCCATTGACTTGAAAGAGAGTATTGTTTGACTGTAGCGTTTAGTGAGATTTTAAGGTTTGGATCGTACCTAAGAAAATGCAATGAAAGACTCTTTCCAAAATCTTTATTGTTCTGACTCGTTCGAGAGGTATATTCAGGTTTTAAATGCTATCTTCCTCATCTTTCCTGTGTTTATGAACCAGCCAAGGGTCATCCTTTATCTCTGAAGAAGGGCAGGAATACCTTCTATTAGAAGATTTTGAAAGTAAAAAGATTCCATTGCAGTGAGTGAACAATAGCTTTTTTTGGAATGTGCGTGAGAAATTAATCACAGAGCCATTAACTTGCCTGAAAATATTATTTGAGACATCCTGCATGGTGTTCCGTAAGTTTTAACAGAAAAAAAACTATGTAACCCTGGCTTCCATTTTCTGGAAATAACTGTAATCAAGATAGAGCTGTTTGGTTTTTATTTATTTATTACTTTTTTTTTTTGCTATGATTGCTTTTTCTGCCCCAGATTACTGGCACGCAAGACCAATTTTGCTGCTACTTTCTGTTTATAGTATTCTGTTTGATCTGTCGTATTGATTGCTGCAGCTGGCAAAAGAATCAGCTTGAAAAGATGAGTGGTCAAGCCAGACCACATACAGCATATTCAAATTAGGATGGTTATTCCTCTGGCTAAAACACTTTGAAAACTTTGTCCTAGTTCTCTGTCAGCAATTAGTTTTTAGTGCATAGGGACAGGCTTGCTTATTTGACATTATATGATCATTTCATTCAGAAACTTTTCTGGGATGTGTACGACTCTCCACTTCCAAATGCACAGATCTATAGGTGCGTGCACACGCACCCACTCACCCGCACCACAAGCTAAGCATATGGAGTGTGACTCCCTGCCCCCACACCATGTCCCACATCTGATCTGCGCATCTTAATGTACGGTGCTTGTAGATCAGCAGGCTGTATAGTTATTTCTTGATGCATGGAAAAAGAGGTGTCCAGCCTTAGCACCGAGTACAGAATAGTTTTGCCACTGTTGGCATAATTTGCAGATGTGCGTTGCACATGTGATAGTGCCATGAGTTTGTCAGGGTCCATCCTCTGTTTATAAATAGGGTTAATAGTTTTCCTTGTCCTATATTGAAGTTCATTTTAAATTGGGGAGAAAAGATACTTTAATTCTTATCTTAATAACCAGTTTTGAGTAGATTATAAAGTCAAAAGGGATGGAGCTGTTTTGAAGTGCATGGAAAAATTATGAATGTCAAATAACTTAAGAAAATAAATGCAGAAGTCATTAAGCTTCCTGCATCCGAGATCCTTTAGATAAGCGAGAGTAAAATCTGTTCCTGAGCTCTGATCCTAACTTAACTTCCCTTGAGATAACGTGTGATTCAACTTCACAGTGTAGATTTTCAGAATGGTACATGTTCTTCTTCTCGTGGCAAACAGTTAATACTGACTTTTGAAAAGTATTTAAATTTAATAGATTGAATTTCCTGTCTTCATTTCTGTGTGAACTACTCCTCTTTGGGCCCTTGTTTCAGGCTGTCTTCAAACTTAGACTTGCATAATCAGATTGGCAAATTCAGTAGACTAGAAAGTCAATTCCATAAGAATATTTAAAAACGCGGGCACTCGCGCACATACACACACACACATATACACTCACTCAATGAAAAATGCTCTCTTGTAGTGAGGATATGAGTTGTTGCCGTGAGCTAAACTAGTAACTGGCTTGGCTGCTTCATATCATGGTTTTTGAAAGTCTGCTTTCAAAAGTGCATGTGGTCAAGAAAGAGTAAGAAGTAGCATTCAGTCAGAAAGAGGAAAAACTCTTAAATTTAAACACGAGAGCGTTGTTGTTTACATATGATGGGTAATCCTGAAGCATTGGCATCATATATGCACTGTATGCATCTTGAGCTTTGGTTATATGCACCTGCATGTTGTGCATCGTTTAGAGTCAAATATAACTTGTTATCACTGGAATATGTCTTAAAGCCTGTTTAAAACCACCGTAATGCCTAGAACTGGTAACGTTTTAAGGACAGTTCCCCTGCTCTGTGTGTGTGCATAAATACTTTAAATGTCACTTGAGTTCTGGTGCATGGCTAAATGGATTAAAGTGATCCCAGTACACGTACAAGCCATGAATTGAAAAGCAAAATTGAACGCACCCTTTTTTGATTATGCACATTTCTGTACTGTTTTCATAAGGTGAATGGTAGTGTTTATATTTTATTTCTGTAGTTTTGGAAATACTTGCATTTAAAAGTATATCCTAGTGAACTGGAACTAATCATTTTGGTTCTATAATTGGTTGTCAGTGTCCTGCTTCTCTAGACCGCCCATTTTATTTTTATGGTGTATAAAATGCAGACCAAGATGCTTGCCATACTTGCTTATGTGAAACATGCATGACTTTTGCTGGGAGTTTGATCTGAATGCATACCACAGAACTAGAAGAATACATCTGGAATCGAGAGGAACTGTTGAATGAACCAGTGAACCTTTCGAGTAAATTTGAAGCGCTGCTGAAGGGGCTAAGCTCAATGGCTTAGCAGTTGCACAATATGTTTGTGTCTTGTAGTGCACTCTGTAGCCTTACGCCTTTTTTTTTTTTTTTTAATTCCTATATGCTGTATTTTTCCAGTTATGTTAAGCTTTTGCATTCACTCAGAAACCAGAGTGAAAAGTAAAACAGAGCAGTAGTTCATTACTGAACTTCTGAAGCTCTGAGGCTAAGCACAGTAAAGTGTTAGCGAAGAAAGGAGACGTGTCCAACGTGTTCAGCATCATAAGGAATATGGGAAGTTTCACTTGGTTAAGCCAGAGATAAATACTTGATAAGAAAGTTGCTCATCTCTTTGGAGGTCTGTTAAACTAAATGCAAATTAATACTTAGAGTCACCTAGACACCAGTTCTGACCAGTGAGAGAGAACTTAAAAATCTACGTTAATACAGTAATCAGAGCAAAATTAGTATAGTTTTTCTAATGAAAAGAATCAAAGAACAAAGAACAAGGTAATAGAAGGAAGCATCATAAAGCGAGAGAAGAACTCTCATAAGCCTCTCGAGCTGATGAAAGGTAGTCTCTCTGCTATTAAACAGAGGAAAAAAACCAGCTGGTTAGGTGACTGGTTTCTTGTCTTCAGCTGTCCAGTCTAAGCTATTCAGATAGATTTCCTTGGTAGCTGACAGGGAGAGAGAGAAGCACTTCAGGAGTTCTTCATCCCAATTTTAGGCAGATATCTAAGAAGAATGGATTGTGTTTCCCACTGTCTCAATTTCTCCAATGACAGCAGAGAAACCTACATGAATAGCTCAGCTGGATTCCTTTCTTCTCAGATTACTAGAACCCACTGAGATGAATCCAACCTTCCCTTAAGAAAGATGTTTTCTGTGATATAATCAACAAATTGAAATTTGAATAATATGTTGTGGCTGTGATTGCTTCAGAAAGAGCCCCTTAAAATGAGGGGAAAATACTTCTTGTGGTACTTACACTGCTGATTTTGTGTGTTCTGTTCCTTAGAAAAGTTTTGTAAGCTATTTGGTCCAGTTGCTTAATAGAGCTTAATAAGAGTAAGCGGTAGCAGCTCTTCGTGACACGCGCATGCTGAAATACAGACATTTATATCTATCTGTCTATATAGATATGTATAGACGTATAAATAAACACAATGGTATGGTTCTGTGGTAATGAGAATAGGAAATATCACGGTATGATTGATAAGACTGTGTGGACTTCGTTAAATCCACCTGTCTTAATACTTGCCATCGTTCTGACTTGCATTTAAACCAGGAGTCAGACTTAAAACAAAATTTCTCTGTCTGGAGTGAGATAACTGGGGAGTTCTACCCGGGAAAAGAAGTTTGTTGTGGGTTTACTTCCCCTGTTGGTTAGAACCAGTATTAATGAGTGCTATTCTCATAAAAGATGAAGTTTCCGGAGGAATCAAAGGCAAACACCATCCAGTTTTATCTAATAATGCTGCCTTAACTTAAGTTCAAGACAAAAGCATTCAGTCTTTGCATGTATACCCTATGATTGATTTTTTTTTTCTTTTTTTTCTCTGTAAGAGCAGGCCATCCTTCTCCTATTTCTGGTTTTATCTGTTATTTTTCTCTGCTTTATGTATTTTGAATCAGGTTTGTATTGTTAGTAAGTAACTTCAGGCATGTGCTAAATGGTGTTGCGGACAATCCTATTTTCCTCTAACATTTTTTCATACTCGTTAAAAGAAAAAAAAAACAGCAAGTACTGTAAAACCAGAGAGCAAGTGCAATGTTCTCACCTTTAGCGGTGCCATTAAAGCGCTAGTAGTAGTTTGCAGCATGGCCTAAGAAGCTTAAAAACAAACAAACAAACAAAAACAACACCAGCAAGAACAAAAAAAGTCACCCAACTCCCAAACAAACAAGCCCTGCTCCAAACTGGCTTGGTATTTTTCTGGAAATCACTTGCTTTATGAAACAGCAACTTGTTGAGCTGCTGCTACAGCTGTACTCTTGTGTCATTATGTGTTTAACATGCATGGATTTGTATGTATATAATTAATTAGGGTTTTTCTTTTTAAGTACTGTTGTTTGTTTAATAATCCTGTTCCGGCACTTTATTTAAAAAAAAAAAACTGGAAGACACAGGTAGACTTTTCGATTCTTTTACATTTTAAATGTTGAGTTTATTATTTGTAATGTTTGTTTTTTATATGTTTGTCAACATTTTAATCTTATGATCTTATGTGTAGATCTCATGCTGACTCGGCAAAATCCACCTCCTCTGAAACAGACTGCAATGATAATGTACCCTCCCACAAAAATCCTGCTCCATCAGTGAGCAAGCATGCTGTGAATGGCTTTTTTCAGCAGCAAGGAGTCTATGACTCTCCACCCTCTCGTACTGGACTGGCGTTGGCAGACTGCAGCCTTTATAACCTGCCTAGGAGTTATTCACAGGATGTTTTACCAAAGGCAGCATCTCCATCAGGGACTGATGCAGAAGGAGAGCAACATGTTTTCAATACCCCATCGGCAGCATCTTCATTAGATGCCCAGATGAGACACATCTCCATTAGTTATGACATTCCCCCCACACCTGGAGGTACTTACCAGATTCCACGAACTTTTCCAGAAGGAACGTTGTCTCAGACTTCAAAGCTGGAGACGATTCCAGATATTCCTCCACCTCGGCCACCAAAACCTCACCACGCTTCAGATCGATCTCCTGTGGAAACCTGTAGCATTACTCGCACTGCTTCAGACACTGATAATAGTTACTGCATCCCTACAGCAGGAGTGCCGCCCTCACGCAGTAATACCATTTCAACTGTAGATTTGAATATCTTTCGTAAAGGTCAGTATTCCTTGTTTTATCCTGCTCTTGCAGAAGTTGTATGTTAAATGACCTTAATCTTGTGCAACAGATTGAAAAAGGCTGGAACTTAAAAATTTTGAGGGGAGTTGTGTGCCCAGAGCGGAATGCCCATCCTTATACTTACAAAATCTGAGACAAGTAAGGATTTCTGGAAAGAAACGAGCAAACCTTAAGCATTGGGCATTTATATTTAATTAGAAAAAAAAATGCAAATGCATTATGCAGAACTAACTGTTGTAGTGACTCTTCTAAAATGTGACCATTTTCCTTGCTCTGAGAGTTTACTGTTGATCTTTGAAGACGGTTATAGATAGTCTTGATCAAGTAATGTTCATATACAAATTTTTCTAGGATGTCCACATATTTTTGTCATGTGTTAACATTCAGTATTTGGTGAAAATAGCCCCAGCAAAAGTCTACGTTTGTCAGGAAGCGCTCTTGTTTATTATTACTTTTCCTCCATCAATTCATGTAACTTAGGGCTCCCGAGAACATTTTCAAACTAAAGGTAGCATCAAACAGGCTTCCAAACAAACCATCTGTCCGCTGTACCTCAAATGTGAGTCCTTTGTCCTTGTCCAGTGGTCTGATGAGCACAAGCCTGCTCCTCGCAGTGTTTCTTTCGGTGCAATTGCAATGTCAGCCGCTATCCTAAGGTAGCGCCTGAAAAATTGTGCCACTTCTGTAAGGCAGGCTTCAGAAAAGTTGCCTGTGAAATGAGTTAATCTGACATGCGATTGGAGGTGCTGTAACTGGGTAGAACTTGTTTTCTCCTCCTGTGTCATCAGCAAGAGGAAAGACCCCAAATTTTATCTGGAGGTATGTAGCTGTAACTGATTTGGCTCGCAGGGTCTCCTGCGGATGCCAGTATTGGCCAAGGAAGAAGGAGGGTGACCAAGGACAGAATGGCTCAGCTTAATTTTCAGACTCTGTCTGTAGTAGATAGCATGGATAGGTAAAAAAAATTATTATGCTGTAACTGCAAAAGCAGATGTAGTTTATGAAGCTTAGTTTGGTGAAGAAACACCCCGTGGACTAGAAATGCTGGAGTCTCAAAACGACAGCTGAGGATTTCCCCCGCATGCTAAGGTGTCAGTGCATGTCTGAAAGCAAAATGGGACCATTCAGAGGAACTATACGAGGGGCAGTTTTGGCCTTTAACAACAAGTGTGTAGCCCTCCACAAAGCTTTTCTGTGGTTCTAATGTTTAAAATAAGTAGGAAAGAGGAAAAAAGTTACAGGAAACCATCAAAACAGCAAAGCATGGGACATTGATGAAGTAGGTTTGTTGCACTGGGGCATTCAGCCTTAGCTAAACATAATTAAAACCGTAGATATCTTTACGGTGTTAATAGTCTTTAGAGAACAGAAGGGAGGAACTAATCGTTGTTGCTAGTAAGCTCATACAGTTGAGTTGAGCACTGTTGCTTGCTATCAGTCTTTCGGAACGACTGAAGTAAGGCTTGCATCTAGTGGTCCAAATCCACTGAGGCTGAAAGCATTTGGCCAAATTCACTGGGAGTTAGTATACACCCACTGCTTCCATGTGAGCCCTGGTTTGGTTCTGGGTGCCACAAAACTTTGCATTTCTCTCCCTGAGATGTAGTTTTTAAAGTGAAATTAAATTTGCTCGTTATAGTCCTTATAGTCGTTTAAATGTTGGCGTTTCCAGGCTTTTTAATGTGTTGCTATAACAGCTATTCCTTCAGCAGCTGGATATTAGCAAATCTGGTAAAGCTACTTCTAGTCAAAAAAGCAATTGCTTTTGCTTGTTTTTCTGCCTGTCTTTTTGTGTGAGTGTGTGTGTGTGTGTGTGTGTGTGTTGTCCACCTCCACCCCCTGACCCGTGTTCTCTCACTCTGAAATTAAAACTAAAGAAAGGTTTGGGAGGTTGAGATCGGGAAGTGGATGTTTGACTGTCCTCTGTAACAGTATACTGGCCTTGTTAAAAGCTCTTGGGCTAGCTTCATTCCTTTCAGGTTCCTAAGGCAGGTGGGCATAACGTTGTTAACTTTTAAAGTGGAGTTTTAAGCTGGTTAGAATTGATGCTAATGTTTGGGGGGATTTTTAAGAGAATTCCTTGCGTTGCACTAGATACAGCGTGTGAGGCAGAAAGGAGGATGACAACAGAGACAGAGTTTTTAGAGGAGGCGATATACAAAAGGGATATGATTACAGAGGTACTCAGATATCATTATTCCGTTTGTCATTCATTTCATAGACTAAATGTAATAATATTGGTGTCTATTACTATTTTAAAGTTACAAAGTAAAACCCTGAAAGATGCTTGCTTACTTTGTTTTACTTATAAGCTTAAACTGGGAAAAGATAAATGAGCACTCCTTCATCAAAGCTGAGTTTCCCTGCCCCAAGACGAGTTGCCTTTCTGCAAATACTTGATAGCAGAAGTGTTTGTTTTGCCTGTGAAGTGGAAATTTCCAAAAAACCTCGGAGCTGTTTCTCAGGGGCAAGGGGAACTAGAGAATTTTCCCAAAGTGTCTGTGTTGGTGTCAGGAAGAAGAGCAAGCCAGTTGCACAGTAAGGCAGCCTGTCACCTGCCCAGGTGAGTAGGACCGAGTACCGGAGAGTCAGAAATATTTCGCAGATATTCCCACCGGCCAGAGAGGCAGCCACAACACTGAAGAACTTGTTAGTGTGAACTGCCAAGAGTCAGGAGCCTGAAAAACGTGAGAACTTTGGTTCTGTAGCAACTCATTCAAACTGAAAGCCCCTGGTGACCTAATGGGGGAATTGAGAGCGGAGGGGAAGGCAGCAGATCATCTGTACAGGTGTGAGGAGGAATTTGTCTGTTGTTACAACAGATTAAATTCTGTTGAATCAGCACTTCAAAAGGGAAGGGTAAGTCAGAAAACTTCGCTCTAGCCCTCAAATTATGTCTGCTACTTATTTTAGAACAGAATTCCCTTTTGAGGGCCCAGTATCTCAAAGCCCACTCTTGCATTGAATTGTTATGCTCGTCAATTTGAAAAGATGACTTAGCTACTTTAAATGGAAAAATTTCTTTATTTCTTGCCATGGAAAACGCCACTGTAAGAGCTTAAAGTAGTGACTGATAGCGGTATTAAGTTGGTCTGTGAACAAGCATGTAGTGTAGTATCCTCTCAAGTACATGGATAAAATCTGTCGATCACAGCTTTACGTGGTGCGCGTGTGTGTTTATGTATTTTCTCAGCAGCAGACAGTAAATGATAAAAAGATTGTGGTGGCCTGATGCTGAATGACAGGAAGTAAATAGCAACTTTCTCTTCTTGCTTCTTCAGAAATTAGTTCTCAAGACTGTTATGATATTCCACGTACGTTTCCAAATGACAGATCTAACTCGTTGGAAGGCTTCCACAACCACTTTGTAAGTATGACTTCATCTCGTGAGACACAACAGTGACAGAGTGCTTGGATGCTCTTTGATCCTGTGTAAAAAGCAAGCTGCACGGTGTTTGTGCTTTTCAGTTTCAATAGGAGTATATTAATCTGAGTTTATTAGGTTAAAAGATTCATATGATTCACAGCTGATTGCATAACTTATTTTGTTAAAGGAAATATATGTTAATTCTAGAAAAACAGAAGCATGTTGACAGTGGGAAGTGTTTCAAGTGAAGAACTAGATGAAAATTATGTCCCAATGAATCCCAACTCTCCTCCACGACAGCATTCCAGCAGCTTCACTGAACCCATCCAGGAAACAAACTATGTACCAATGACACCAGGCACGTTTGATTTTCCGTTATTTGGAAAGCAAGTCCCTCCTCCCGCTCACATGGGTTTCAGGTCCAGTCCAAAGACCCCTCCTAGACGGTCAGTACCTGTTGCAGAATGTGAACCACCACCAGTGGATCGGAACCTCAAACCAGACAGAAAAGGTGAGGACAATGTCCAATAGAAGTTGATTTTTATCACCTAATAAAATAATACAGCTCTCCAACTTTAGTTCAGTGGAAAATGATCATTTTTAAAAATTCTAACAAATAATTTTTATCCTACGAAGTAGCCATAAGATAAAGGAAACCTTTAACAGTTTTTAACCGTTTTAAAGCATCAAAATAACAATGCCAAATACACACTTAGGTTTAAATTTCAGTGCTGCATTTATCTGTGGAAAAAATGGCATAGAACTGCTAACATCCAGAAGTATGAGCTTTAGTCCTTATGTGTATAGGACAGCTAGCCAACTTATGATGACAGGATAGCACACTAGGAATTGGATTTAAAAAAAAAAAAAAAAAAGGAAGAATTTATAGGCAACACAGTGTTTGGTACAGGTCCAGTAAAGGTTTTCCTTGTATGATGCAACAATTAAAAATAACTCATTTAACTTTATTTTAGGCATATGCTATTGATGTCAGTATTGTTAGAAATCAGTCATATAGCGAGAGAAAGAGTTGTGTATTGTGCTACTTTTTAACTAATCCTATTCAAAGCATTCAACAGTTATGGAATAATTCTTACAATTGTGTTTAAAGGAAAAAAATAAGTTGAATAAGTAGTTTTAACTAATAAGTAAGTAATTTTAAGGCCTCATTTCAATCTGAAAAGCAAGGAAAATCACTTTCTTGCTTCATGTTGGGGCTTCCCACCCCTTGAGCGAGAGTGACAACATGGAGCAGTCACAGGAAGATGGTTAACTTGGGACCTCTGAGGTTGCTATATACATCTTCCTTGGGATCCAAATAGGAGGAGGAAACTGCTCGGCCAAGCCAGTTCTTAAGATATGTTTGCCCGGTCACAGGAGCTGGGTGCCATGGTTATAATGCAATTTATATAGACTGTAGTAAGTGAAAACATAATATCAGCCTAGATTTTGAATTTCTTTGCCTTTAATAGAATAGGATAGATTAAACCAAACCACAAGGCAAATGGAAACTTTATTTTTTCTGGAAATATTTTAAACTGCTGAATGTGTGGGAGATACTGTTATGAATTTGAGGAAGCTGCAACAACTTCATTAACAAAATTGACTAGGGAAAACCCCCAAATTTTAGAGAACCCCTCCAAAAACTTCCTTAAAAATAAATCTCTTGAAGAATCTGGAGTATTTGTTTTACTTTTCCTTAAAATAAGGACTATTTGAAAGAATAGGATAGTCTTTTCTTAAGAAGCAAAGATGACGCTGTTGTGATGATGTGTCTATATGAGACATTTGCATAGAGAATGACCGATAAGTAGCTTGGCCTTCCCAGTGGATCTGAAATGTTTCATCAGCGTATCAGAAGTATAGATAAATGATGAAGCAACTTATTTGCATACTGCACAGTTGTTTCTCAGGCTAGATACCATCTCTACAAGAAAGTTAGTTAACTAAAGAACATTAGGTCAAATGTCTGCACTGTTTTGTATTTGAAAACGACCTACTTTTATATATTTGAAAAAATAGCGTTCACAAACTTAATGGCTGATTTCAGCTTGATGAAATGGCTGATTTCAGCTTGGGGAAAAGTCAATGTTAAATACTCAGATGACCTAAGATATTCACTAGCTAAAACTTTAAATTAATGTGTTTGCCATTAAGTGAAAACAGCCAATAATTTTAACAGAAGTGTGATAGAAGATCTCTGTGTAAAGTGGGAAGTGCCACGTCTTACTCTGACTGTCCGTGTTCAGAAATTGAAACATAGCCCTTTTCAAAACCTTGGCTCTCTGCTAATTGTTTCCGTGTTACCAGACAGTAGTTTTGTTTAGTTCTTAAGAAGTACTGGACAGTAAAAGATTGAAGAAACCTGATACTGGACAATATGCTCAAAATAAACACTGAACTGCTTTAAAATATTTTCTCTGACTGGCCAGTTTGTGTATTTAACTGATAAAATGTTTGTTGACTTTCAAAAGTGGTAAACTTTTGTGTTGAAAAGCTTCTTGCTGTGTTGCTGGCGGTGCAGATTTCTGCAGAAGCAGCACTGTTGCTCTTGCATCTTTCTCGAAACCAAATTGGCGCTCTGCACTCTAAGAGCAACGTATAAGGCTCCTGATCCAATACCATCCTTAAATGCTTGAAATACGTAGAAAGACCTAGCTAACATCAGGGAAGAGAGATTTTTAGATGTACTCGCACATTTCTTGATGAGTGTAGAGTTGCATGATGTGGCTCAAACTGACTGGTTGTATTTTTTGCCTGTAGACTTTTGGAAACTGTGTCTCCTTAAAACAGCGTGATTAATTATTATTGCTTGAAAGATAAAATCAGTTGAAAGTAAAGCTGTCCCTTAAAATAAATATGCTTAGCAGCTGGAAAAAAAACCCTAATACGTGAATGTGTATTACCAAGAATGATGATAATACTGATCTGTCAGTGTTTTATCTTAGTAACACAAGCACTGGTTCACACAATTTTTATATCAAGTATACTACTGTAAGTCTTCCATTGTTGTGAAAAGCTGGTATGATGACACATGAGAATGCTGATATATTCTCATTTCAGTAGTTGAGTTCTCCATGCAAATAACTTCCTCCAGAAGTACTTTCGGGAAGATAAAACTGCCATTCCTGTTGAATTAAAATAAGATAAGACTTTAATAGTCTGTTACCTAAGTGAAACAAGTTATGCTCTACTGTGGTGCTTTTTCAGCTTTCAAGTTATTGTAGCAACTTCTGCCAGTTTTTTTTCTGCATATCTACATGCACTGCAATACTGTTCTGATATGAGTTAGTACATTAATGCATATGAGTTAGTACATTAATGCATAGCAAGTAACAAGTTGGCCTGTGTATTCAATAAAACCTAGCATAGAAGAGGGGGGAATGGTAAACAAAATAGTTATCTACTGAGTATTACCTCTTTTAAGCAGGGGTAAATTCTTACAGTGTATAAGATGAGATTAGTGTAAGAATTTCTGTTGGAGACAACTGCTGCTTCTCTAAAAGATGGCATAACTGCAGAGAGTTACGAGGCCTCCAGGTATATGAAGGCTGTATCCTCTTCTCTCTGAAGAAGCTGCTGTGACCTTTTTTCCAGTTTCAGATATTGCTGCAAAAACAAACCTGCAATTCCTTTGTAGCAGGCATACTTGTTATTGAGAAGTAGCATTACCACCTTTAACTTGCACATTAGTTAAAGCTGAGAAACGTTCACGTGTAAGCCAGGGAGGTTTGCCACATTCGGTGCTGAAATTGCATTTGACAAAGAAATCATATAGTGAAGCTAGCCCATAAAGGAGGAGTGCTCTACTTCCTGTTGCCACATGTACGTGCTCCTTTGCTTTGCTTTGGTTTAAGAACTTGGAAGCTTACAGGCAGCACAGTTTGCCAGTGGTAGAAATGGAGGACGTGGAAATGGCAGTGGCCGTTCTGCCGTATGTAACCTCCTCCTCCTCCCCCCCCCAAGTATTTCTGTTAAGCGAACCTGAGATGAAGTACACACTTGGTTACTTCCTCTGGTTCTCCTTTATTGGTGCCACCCAATAAAGACCTAGCAAAGCGTGTGTCTCCACAGCTCTGGCATACGCACCTGAGGCTCCGGGCCACTTATTAAACTTTCAAAATTCTCCAGTTTGTTTTAAGAGTAGATACATTTTCACCAAAGTAGCAACTGTGATGGAAGAATGAGCTGTGAAAATTAATAACATTAATGCACTAAATGTAGGTAGTAAACACATCTCAAATTCACTAAATCACGTGCACGTTCTTCCAGCGAGGGCTTTTGGCTTGCCCCTGCTTTGAGAGCCCGAGGCTCTTCAGTCTTTGAATCTGTACGAGTTGCCTGGGCCGGGAGGCGCTGTGAGCTGTGCGATGGCCCGTGTCTTTTGCCGCTGATTTCGGGAACGGTTTTGTTTTAGAACATGAGGTAAAAAAGATAATACAGCCTGGAGATTACACTACATTTTCATGTAGTTTCATTCTCCTGGCTCACAGCTGCTTCTGGAAATGGGGAAAGGTTCCAGTACCTTCTGGAAGGCTTGAAATTAATTTCGAAACATGTTATTGGCTGCCAGCCCCAATAGCTTGAATCAAAACATGTTACTGTTTTTTAGAGAAGCATACCAAAAGGTAAGTGATCTGTTACTTGCGACAAAATTGAGTGTGTTTGGCTAGGTGTTTTTCTGCTCTTACCTGTAACTGAATGACAAAAATAATCTTTTTTTTTTTTTTTTAAACGTGTTTTTTCAGGGAGCTGCTTCATTTATTTTAAAGAACCATTGTTTGTGTTCATTTTGTATTTCTGCTTTCTGGCTGCTTTAGCTTGCCATAGTTGCATGCCATGGTGATGCTAAATTGGAAGCGCTATTGCTAGCAGAAGATTTCAAATGGAAAAAAATATCGCTTCCATCTGTGCGGCTGGGTTGCGCTCTCTGAATCATTAAAAGACTATGTGTCTAGTTCTGCTACAGAGCAATTCTGCAACGTTTTAGTTTGAGACAGTCTTTCAATTTTGAGACAGTCCCTTCTTCGAGATACCGTTTATCGAGAAGGCACAGTAGAATTAAAGGTAGCCAAACACAGCAAAGAAAAGACTGCCATGAAAATTAAGGCTGCAAACGACCACCTGATTCTTCTCTCCTGTACCCTGTACTTTCCTTGGGCTCTTTCCTTCTTTTCCAAAACGTTGGAAAGGGTAATGTTCCTGGCAGTGGTACTGTGATCTCCAGCCTGCTGACAGCTCACAGGATGGTGATGAGTGTTTCATAGCTCTACAGGGAAGCATTCAGGGTGGTGAGAGGTACTGAGCAGGTTGGTCCCAGGTGGCTGTGCTTGGCAGCCCTTGAGAAAGTTGAGGGCCTGACAGAGGTCTGTAAGTCTAGATGATTGTAATCTTCCCCCAAAAAAGTGATGTAGGTCAGAGATCAGGAAAAGTGAACATTTGACAATAGAAGGGGGTGTAGGGTGTTGATTGACTTTGTTGGTCAGGAGAGGGCTGGAGTAGCAGTGGGTC